AATATTTTTTTCTAAATTAGAGCGAAAACGAAGAGCCTATCAGAATATCTTTAATTATATAGAAAGTCAGCATTTAATAAATGAATAATTAAATGAATTGAAATTAAGAAAAATATTTTAAACGTAGAATGAATGCACATTAAAATAGAAATCGTTGAATCTATAATCATTTATTTTTTCTTAGAGATAAATGATTTTTGTGCTAGTTTCTCCTTGAATGCAATTGGACATCGCCATGTGCAAAAGTTCGATTATTATATTTAAAAAAGTGATCTACATGGTCATAGTTGATAGTATCACTGATACGATTGGTAGCTCGATAGCCAACGAATGATCTTGTGGCAATAACTTGAGAAAAACCAATAGTCTGTGAAAATGAAACAAATAAGAAAATTAAAATATTATAGTTGGCATACTGAAAATATTTTGCAACCATCGAAAGCCACTCGGAATATATTGAGATCAAAAGTATATAATATGAAGAGATGTTTGAATGTTCTCGTTCAAATATAATTTGAATTCGCAGTGTACGATCTCCTTCGATGAAGAGAACAGATTCAACTAAATTTCCGTGAACACATATTTCTTCCGAAAATCTTTACTTGGTCATCCGTTTAAACCGATCAATTGCTTTAGTAAACGAAATTGAAGTACCACCTAGCCAAAAAAATCAAGATCTTGTGTTGACGTATTAAAACCATCTATTAATAGACATTGTAATACAAAACCACCTAATTTAATTTAATTTTTAGATATGACTCAAAAGAATATATTCTACTAAACTTACCAGCCATAACAAATAATGAAAAATTTATCCAGTCTTTGATTAAGAAAAATTCGAACGTATTATTTAAGTTGACTAAAAATTGGTTTATATTTTCAGCAATAACAGACGTTTGTTGTAAACTACCTTCACAGCATATACGAAATAATTGCGTTTCAATTGAAGTGAAACATCTATATATATACATATAAATACATAGAAAGATAATCAAAGAAGGAGATTATAGGCATGGCATATGCTGAACAATGTGTTGAATACGAATGTAAACGAACAAACGTTCGACATGAGTAGGCATTACAACGATCCATAACTTTCTTCAAACATTCAGATGTAAAATCATTATAAATGAATCGACGATATTGGCAACTGGATGATATTTGAATACAATGTATTAAATACTTTATTCGTTTAAGGAAGATTATTTTTTAATATATTTTTGAACTAAGTTTTAATTTAGAATAACTTACTGTTCAAGAAGGCGCTAAAATTGTCGTTTAGATCACATTGTCATATTTCATGCACATTCAGCAAACGCCAATGCATCAAAAACCAGCAAGAAATGAAGAGAAAAGAGTTAATAGAGAAAGAGAAATAATCCAAACAGTTTTTATGTTTCAAAGGTTGTTTTCGTTGAATGGTTGAATGTTCTAATCGATTTGTTATTTGTCTTTGTTGTTTATAAACTTTCGTTTTCATTTTCTTCTTGGAAAGTGATATGCTAAAGTAAACTATCAATATGTATGTTTCTTGCATTAATTGGATTCTTATCGTCAAATTTGAAAATAACAGCGAAACAAGTTAAAACTATGGAATTGAATTTTATGTCTCATTTAGAGTCACTGAACTCTTAGGTCCAAAAGTGCCTATGTAGCTTTTTTAAGTTGCGGTTGCGTTTTACTTCTGAGAAAATTTGATTTTCTTCGATGTTGATTGAAAAAGCATAAAAAACTATAAAAAAATTGGGTCCATATTTGGTAGCTTTTATCATCATAGCTGATTCTAATAGCGAAGAAAATAGCATATTCGAAATCAGTACAAAAAACTACGTCGAATAACATGTGTTTTGAAAAAATTGTTTTCCATGAAAAATCGATCCCCTAGAGAACTACGGGTGAGTTTTTTTCTGGAAAAAAAATTCCAAAATATATATTAATCGATGTAGTTTCTTTGCGCAGATTCAGAATATGCTATTCATTTCGCTATTGCAATCGGCTTTGATGATAAAAGCTATCAAATATGGACACAATATTTTACAGTTTTGTATGCTTTTGCTACCAACATCGAGGGAAATGCGACGGTCTCAAAAATAATACAAAAGTTTAAAAACACCTAAATAGCGACTTTTGAAGCTAAATGCCAGCGATTCTAAGTAAGCTAAAACTCTTCGTTCCATATATCCTTATGAACAGCTATAGAGAGATCTATAAATGTACATTTTAAGATAAACTCCAGTTATTTGTATTCGATGGGATATTTTTTACTTGATTAACTTTACATTTAATGCAATAATGTTTTTTATTTGGATGAACATAAAAAATGTCGTTTCTTGATTATGGGTCAGAATGCATAGAGATGTACATTACCCATCAACATTTGTAGTATGAACTAACTTTCGCCACTAGAATTTTACTCTTTTGAGTTATGTCATAAACGATGTAGAATTTCAAGGACTTTCAGAAAATCTTCGTTTTAGCCACTAGTCATTTTTGTCCATATGTTGGGATTATCACTTGGTGAATGGTATTCTAAAACATAGTGAACTATCCCATTTTGTAGAGAGAACATTTCTTCATCTTTTGAGGCGTTTCCTGACTCCAACCAAAATTTAGAGGCAGAGAAAAGTGCAAAGTACTAAGAGCAACCTAAAAGTTCAATTTTCTGACCAAGTACCGAGGGATAAGTCACTTGTATACTTTGGTATTTTTCATAAGCAAGTTAGAAAGAGCTAATATTTTGGATGTAGAGGTTTCGAATGACGGTCTACCATTTAATATACCTAAATCTAAAATCAAAATTTTTGCAGCGGATGATTTCTGATTAAATGGTTAGGTGCTCTCACGAATCTTCTCTTAGGGAATAGTGTATTGTAAAAGTCCATGGAACGTCAAGCTTTATTTTATTAATTCTATTTGTCATTACATGACCAATACTTTCCCATATTTACCAAAAAAAGTTCAATCAGCGGCTATTCAGTAACGGTTAAACAGTGCCACGAAGAATAATACGTTCAACAGATTTCTCTAATTCACATGATAGTAAACAACGCTGACATTTTAATTAATCTGTATTCCCATAGAATGTGGTCGCTTATTTATACATACATCAACATTTTATAACGAGTGGTCCATAAAGAACTGCCCTCTTAGTATTTTTAAGATTTCTCCTCTATTATCTCTGTGATTAAAACACTTTTTTTACCAAAAGATAGCGCTTGAAATTCTCTACAAAACCATATATGACTAGACTCCAAAACTATTTTTAAATATATTTGAAAAAAGATGAAAAATAAAGACATACAAAAAGCTGTAAAATGTAACGGGTTGGACATAATGAATGGCCACGCTTTGCATCCCATTTTTTCATCACTTATTTCGCCCTATTACAAGAACAAAATATGTCAAACAATGCAGCGTGAAAAGTTCTACAATTTACATACGATCGCCTATTTTATAGTTGCACTTTTTGTTTTCAAAATGAACAAAGTTTTGAGTGATCAAATTTTGATCGTGCGAAAATGATACATTTTTTTGGTACAAGATGAATTCGTTTTTTTCTTATTTCCTCTTATGATTTGTTCTTTGCAAATTGTAGAGCTTTTTCTGCTGCATCTTTTGGCATATTTTGTTTTTTAATAGGGCGAAGTGATGAAAACATTAGACGCAAAGCGCTGCCATTCATTATGTCCAACCCGTTACTTTTTACAGCTTTTTGTATGTCTTATATTTTTCATCTTTTTTCAAATATATCTAAAACAGTTTCAGGGTCTTGTCATATATGATTTTGTAGAGAATTTTAAGCGCTATCTTTCGATAAAAAAAGTTATTTAATCACAGAGATAATAGAGGAGAAATCTTAAAAATACTCAGAGGGAAGTTCTTTATGGGCCGCCCGTTACAATCTTTAAATTCAGTAAGTTCTCCATCATAAGTTTCTGTTAGAAAGAAAACAACCATTGAACTATAATGTGATGGATATTGTTGTCGTTATTTTCTTTTTGTACATTTAAAATATTAGATAGCAAGTAAAAATTAATAATCGAATCGAACAGAAAAGAAAAATGAAGACCATGCCATTGTTGCTTTTTTTTGTATAACAACTATACAAATGGATTTTTGAGATATTAAGCTAAAAATGTATCACAAGAAAAAACATGAATGAAAGAAACAAAATATACAACAAGGATTAATTCTTATATTAGAATTGAATAAATCAGCTGAAAGTGTTAAAAAAATACAAAACTGTTTATTACTATATAAGCCTTTCACGACCCTAACATGCTTTTAACATTGACTCTTTCGATAGATCATAGAAAGTCATACCATATATGAGATTTAGAAACTTTTTAAAAACATCTGGCAAAGGAATCTCTACATACAATCAAAAGTCCTTTTCTCGACACATTTGTTACAGCGTTCAGTCCAGTAAGTATTGATACAAGACAGTAGAATGATACGCCCACGTCGCTTCACTCACTCGAGCCTTTGATAACATTAGTGACTTATTAAATGAATGCCACTGAATAAAGCAAAACCACAGGCAGCAATATTGCCCTATGATTTATCACATCAAATGATCTCACGACGCCATCAAACGTCGTGAAGTTCAAAATGCACCAATCCTTTTTATTAGAATACCAAAGCGTGAACCGAATCTCTTTAGCCATAACGGGCCGACAATGTCAATGAGCTATCTAATTTGACCCTTCACATACTTATTTATTTGTCTCACTTTACCGAAACCTTCACATCAAATAAGTTTCGATAGACGAAGTTATTTTTACAAGTATTATGGAGAATACATTTTTCGATTGAAAGAGGATTCTAAAATAAATATCTTTTGTTGTTCTGTAACATTATGTTAATGTTTACTTGAAAGTGACTCACTTTCTTACATTAACAATCGAAGCCCTATAGAAAAATATTGCATCTTTCTTTTTTCTTTTTTTGTTTCAAACCACTATTTCTCAACACATCATCATCATAAACGTATTCAGCATATGGCTACAACTGCTGAAAAAAATTGTTGTTCTTTATGTGGCGAAGAAAAAGCCAAATCAAAATGTGAAGGATGTTCAAAAGATTTTTGCTCCAGTCATTTTGCAGATCATCGTCAAGAACTGAGTAAACAAATAGACGAAGTAGAAGTCACATGCAACCTCTTTCGACAAACACTTACCGAACAAACATCTCCATCATTAAAGCATTCAGTGATGCAAAACATTGATAAATGGGAACGTGAATCTATCGAGAAAATTCAACAAGCAGCAGAAGAAGCTAGACAATTATTACTCAAGTATATCACTGAAAATAAAACCGAAACAAGACTTCACTTGAATAAATTGACTGATCAAATATGGCAAACTCGTCAAGAAAATAACTTTGTTGAAACAGATATAAGTCAATGGCAAGAAGAACTATACAGATTAAAAAAAGAACTCACCAATTCATCGAATATTACACTTCAACAAGATTCTACATCACTTGTGCACAAGATTTATGTTCATATGAAAACTAGTAATTATACTGTTTATATTTGTAGTGACGAGAATAATGATATAACAAAGGATTCATTCGTTCCCGATTCTCAATCTTCTATTGTATATGAATTTAAGAAGTGATCAGAAATTTCTTTCAGCTCCTCATTCAAAGTTTAGTATAGTGAAATCATATTTCAATTTCTATTTAATTTCTTTGAATCTAACCAAAAGAGTGCGTTGGCAAAATCTGAAAGTCTATTTTCTTCTTCTGAAATTTGCCATATAGTATTACTCTTGGTGAATGAGCAATATTTATGTTATTAGCTAAAGAACGATAGGTTAATTTGATGATGATTATAGAAAATAAAAGATAATAGATTTATCTCAAGAATAAGAAACTCCAATGAAAAATTTTCACAAAGCAAAATACATTGTATTCAGTTTTTCTAAACCTCACAATAGAAAAGAACAATTTTAATATGAAAAAACTTAAAAATTAAAGCGACATATTTATAGCTCACGATGTTTTGAAAATTATTTTCTAAGTGTTGTCCACAAAAAAATAAACACCAAATTTAATCTACGTATTTGATTCAATCGTTACTTTTCTGCTTTTCAAACAGTAACGTTCTTAAAACAAAAATTTTCCTCTGATTGTAGCACAACTATATGTACCAAACATTAGCGCTAACGCAAAATGGATACAAAATGGTATTACTGTAGCTGGTGGTAATGGACGAGGTGCAGGATTGAATCAACTAAATTATCCACGCAATGTCTATATTGACATTGATCAGACTATGTATATTGCTGATTATTTGAATCATCGTATTGTGGAATGGAAATATGGAGCAGCCTGTGGTCAAGTTGTTGCTGGCGGAAATGGATTGGGAAATCGAACTCATCAATTGAATAATCCATCAGATGTTATCGTTGATGAAGAACGAGATTGTCTCATCATTTCTGATTATGCTAATCGACGAGTGATGCGATGGCCTCGTCGAAATGGCACCAATGGGCAAATACTCATATCTAATATCGACTGTTCGGGATTAACGATTGATAATTATGGATTTTTATACGTTTCTGATTCTCAAAATCATGAAGTAAGACGATGGCGAATGGAAGATAGTAGTGGAACGGTGGTGGCCGGTGGTAATGGTAGAGGTAGTCGCCTTGATCAACTCAGTTTTCCTACCTCGATATTTGTCGATCGAGATCACTCAGTTTACGTTTCGGATTCCGAAAATCATCGTGTAATGAAGTGGATGAAAGGTGCAAGAGAAGGTATTATCGCTGCAGGTGGTCAAGATAAAAAAAAAAGCTCAATACAATTATCATCCCCTCGTGGAATCTTTAGTGATTCGTTGGGTAATGTCTATGTTGTAGATTGGAGTAATGCTCGAGTATTACGTTGGTCTAAAGGAGCTACTCAGGGTACTATTGTTGTTGGTGGAAATGGGGAAGGAGCAGAAGCTCACCAGCTTTACTGTCCAATGGGCTTGTCGATCGATCGCCATGGCAATCTTTATGTTGTTGATAATTCTAATCATCGAATACAACTATTCAACATCGATCCAAAATCAACTTCGCTTAATTGAATTTGAACCACAATATAATTTAATATTAAATTTGAGGATCTCTTTTTTTTCTCGAACACTGATATGAATTGTCATAATACGTAATAATAAAGGTTTAGCTAATGTGAAAAAACTGAATTCATTTTCTAACATGATGCTCTTTTATTAATTAAAAATATTTAACCTTCTCACTCTATCTTCATGTCAATTATTTGAAAATTAAACTCACCTATACTTGTTAGTAGCATTTAAATACCTTATTAGATCGATGTTTTTTTCTTCGAAATTACATTTTTACTATTTTTATTTGATTTGAATACTTTTATTACGTAGCAATGTAACTTGAAGAACATTTCATTGAAATCAGTATTAATTAAATGAGTTCATTTTTCCAATGATTATATATTACTATCAAAAGAATCTTTAAAAAAATATAATTTGTGAAATGATAAGAAAAACGTTGATTGAGAAAAGTGATTTGGAAAAAATGTTCATTGTTGTCAGTCTCATTGTTATGATAATTATCAAAAGTTGTAAATACTCAAAAGAAAAAACTATTGGAACAATGAATTCGACAACCAAAACAAATTTTTATCCAAATTACAATATTCAATGACTTTTTTCTATCAAAGAAGATCACTTGAAATGCACACTGGATATTTTTATTTTTATGTTGTGTTTTTTAAATAAATAATGTTGTCAAGGTCATCATCATGCTATTCGCAGTCGCCAATGAAAATATTTGCAATAATGATGATATTCATTCATAGACTATCATAAAAAACATATATATAATTATGTTAAAATCAGAATGATTAATCGAAACCAAACTTCATTTATTCATCTAGATGATTGTCTATACGAAGTGAGTGTTCAACATACAAAATTAATTATTACCATTACTGTGAATATATGTTTGAAGTGCACGAGTATTATGTGACAAACATCTTTTTTTCTTCTACATCAATGTTTATTGAAGAACGACTCATGCTATTTTGTGTCAGACGGCGACACAAAGTGAAATATTTTGCTTTTTTTCTTCTTTTCCTTTCGCATTCTTTTTTCCAACATACAAATATCAGCATATGCAACACATGGCTACAAATATCAATAATAATCATTGCACGATATGTAACAAAGAAGGCTTGCTATCAAAATGTGGAGAATGTTCAAAAAGTTTTTGCTACAACCATATAGAGGATCATCGTAACGAATTAAGGAAAAAACAACTGTCTGAAATAAGAAGTACTTGTGATCTTTTGGGGCAGTCACTTTCTGAACAAAGACTTCAGCTACGAAAGCATCCGATGATAGAACGAATTGAACAATGGGAACGTGACTCGATTAACAAGATTCGACAAACTGCAGAAGAAGCCAAACAACTATTATTTCGACACACTAATACACATTTTGCTGGAATAGAAATTCAACTGGATAGATTGACTGATCAATTGAAACAAAGTAGTCGAACAGACGACATCCATGAAATAGATTTATCTCGATTCAAGACAAAACTAGAACAACTGACAGAATTACTGTTTAAGCCACCAAATATCAATGTCCGAGAAGATCCAATACCATTTGTGGTAAAAATTATTCTAGACGTACAACATGGTATGTATCTACGAATTATACATGTACTGACAGCAATGATGTGATAAAAAAGGATTTGGTTTTTCTAAATTCTTAATGAGATATTGATGGCATACTCATAGTTATGTCTCACTGTTAGGAGATAGAAAAATTGCCTAATCGTCATATTAAATTAAGAGAACATTACACAATATTATATGATCATACTTCTATAGGGTTATCTTTATAAGACAGTAGTTCAACTGCATCAATTTCTCTTGAAGAAATATTCTACACGAAACTAAAAAATTCATCAATCTTCTACTAAAATTCAGAAGGTCATTTTTTCTAGTATGATCTTTCATTGAAGAACTAATGTCCTTGGAAATGATAAGATACTATTTTACAAGGAATATCATTTTCTGAGGTAATAATTAAGATAAAGTTATTCACGAATATTTAGTTTCACGTATTGAATGAAAGCAATAATACCTTTTTTTGTCATGATAAATATCAATTTATGAAAGTCACATAGAATTCTACTTTCGCGATTGTTTCTTTTATGAGAACAACTTCTTTAGAAATCTATTCCGTTAACTTTCTCCAGTCACATATGATTTGTATTATCAATAGTTGCATCACAATATGTAAATCTAACATTGATGAGCTTCCGAATACTTAAGTCTGTTGGCTTTGTCTATACTACAGTATTCAGTTTAGATTTTCGAAACATAGTTTATTCAAAAATGTCATTTGAATCAAAAGATGTTTCCTAGTTAAGGATTAATTTATGTTGTTTCTCTCAATTTCATGTAAAAAACAGTTTCCCAAACTGAAGAGGACACCCTATGAATTCACATTGACTTTATTCATTTAGAAGAAACAACAATACCAAATCGTGGACAACATACACTTGATAGATCTTATAGAAGTGAAATAAGAGGTGACGAAACTCGTTTAAATACTGACAATCGATCAATAACGGTTAGTTAAGTATTATCTATCTCTGATGAAATAAGTGTTCATGTCTTTAGAGAAGTAATCTCCCTAATGACTCCAATCAACCAACAACATCAAGAATTTCTAGTCGAGTCATAAATAATGATGTACATAACGAAAATAATCCCAGTCAACGACGATTTGACACTAATGAACGAACAATAATTTCTTTAACCAACAATCGTATTACTTTTGATGATTCTGATGATGATAACGCTTCAGGTTATATTTCTTGGGCTCAGCGAGATATAATTGACTATCGTAATAATTATCCAAATGCACGATCAGATCCAAAAATAATACAAAATTATCTTTTTTATACAAATAAGATACAATCTTATCCAGATGGTGATTTTATTGATAATATACATACAATATGGTTTCGTGATTATGATAGATTAGAATTTCATCATGGTTACACTCAATGGTTATTTCCGCTACAAGAAAGAGGACTTAATTGGCATATCGAACCATTACAAAAACATGAAATTGAATCAATAAAAAAAGATGACCAAGCATTAAAACGAATACTTATATCTTATAAACTCATGTAAGTCTAACAATGAATTTTTTTCTCTTACAAAAGAAATATCAATCTCTATAAATAAATAATCTTCTAAAAATTGACATATTCTATTTGATAAATTAGGCTTGATTTTTATGGTTTTAAGTTAATCAATGAAAAGACAGGTGAAATAGATCGTTTACCTGATGATTCTTATAAATCACGTTTTCATGATCTCGATACATCATCACATAATTATTTACGTATCACTGTAAGTTTATAAATAACAAATTTTTTTATTAGAAAATCATTCATATACTATCATTTTCTAGCGTATTTTAAAATGTTTGGGTGAATTTGATTATGAATATCTTAAATTTCCTTTTCTTGAACAAATATTACGAGAAATTATTATAGAAAATACATTAACAAATTGCCTTCAATCATGTAAAGATTATTGGATTGAAACTTTACGTAGTCGAGATGAACGACGTGCTATTCGACAATATGCAAGACAATTAATTGATTATCGCAATAAGGGATTGACACCAAGTAAATCTTTTCGTGCTATTAGGCCCTCAACAACAAAAGTAACAACAACAAAAACTTGAAAATATATTGTTATCAGACAACGATAATGATGATTCGAAAATATCTGTGATAATACATTCAAGGCTTTTGTTGTCACATATTTCAATAAAAAATATCATGCTTAATTGACAGAATGAAGTTGATGTGTTTAAACAACATGAGCACAGTAAAAGCAGAGGTTGTTGAATAGCCTTAAAAAAAGATTTCTCAAATCTTCTAATCGAACACATTGAATGACACAATAAAAAAAATTTCAATAAACTGCCAACAAATTAGTTGACAATAGATATTAATGCTTAATCCTTTTTCAATCAAATTGACTTTGAGAATAAATGTTGAATTCTATTGTAGTATTTGTTTTAAAGCTCACGACTCAACATAGGCAGCACATGATATTTCAAGTTTACTCAGAGTATTGTTTGCAGTAGATATGTATCCTTTGATTGTTTCGTTATAATGATGCAATTTGAAGCTATGATATAAGAACATAAATATTAGAGTTACTTCATATCCTAAAATTACCACCCATGATAAAACTATTATTCGCATTTAATTTTATGGAAAGTTTTTATTTATATTCGAATATATTCTCGCGTGTTTGTTTTCTTGTATTGTCAGATCTGTAGCTAATAGAAAGTTTAACAATTTAGATTTCAATATTTTTTTTAAAGAAACTTTCGTTCATCTAATGAATTATAAATGAATTGAAGAGTAATTATATATACAAGTTAGGATAATAACATCTTCATCTTTCTTCTTTTGATAGTCATGTTGGAAGTCTCAACATAAATTTAAATCCTTGAATAGAATTTTCTGGAAGGCATCGTCAAGAAAAAATAACATTTGCAATGTATGACTGTTTGCATATGTTTCTTTTTTTTTTAAATTCATGTGTCTTGGGCAAAAAAGTAGAAGAGAAGAATCATGAAAACGTTTTTTGTAACGTCACAAACAGAAAGAAACAATTATTAGTCGATAGTAATTAACATTCACATACTCCATAATGCCATAGTTATAATTTTGAAAATAAAATAGAAGTTGTATATGTCAAAAATGAAAGAATTATGAATTCAATGAAATGATATACGCCATGGATTCTTGAAGAATAATGATAGAATTTTGAAGACAAATTAGTTATTGAATTAATGCGTGAAACTGAATACTGCATGTTGCGCGTAATACATATAAATATACAAGCAAAGACAATACAATAGAAATATGAAGGGTTTGGGGATAGATATTGAATTGTGGGTGTAGGTGTACTTGAAATAAATAAAAAGCACATAAATATTTTATTATCTTCGTTTGGTTGTAAAAAATAAGTATCGTTGTTCGTAGGAAATCATTGGTTTAGATAATTAAAAGTGAATCACAATATTGAGTACTTTATTATATAGTTTTGTCTTCAGAAAAAAAATGACCAAAAAGATTTTATACTATAAGAAGAAAACACAAATTCAATATTCAACTTCATGTCATTTAAAACTTCTTAAATATACATCATTATGACCGAAAATTTTTTAACTGACGCATCGAATATTTACATTGAAGTTTTGGTAATGGTTTAGGTATAGAAATTTGATAGCTTGGATATATTATAGTATTTAATATAATAGAAGGATATTTTCCTGTTGGCTGGCATGATGATAATTGATAATGTAGTTTAAGTATATGTTGTTGTGTCCACTTCCAATGTTGAAACTGTTGTAATGCGGCTTTATGCAGTGCATCCAGAATACGTTGATGTATTTCTTCTTCTATGCTTGAACCTTGACGCAATTTGTCAAGTATAACGTCATAACATAAAGCTTCTTCTTGTAGCATTTCAAAAGATAAAGAACCAAATAGACAGAAATGGAAGAAACTCGAGTTAAATTCATGTAATATATCGTGACTTTGTTCATATTCTCGTATTTTTGTCACTAATTCACTATATCGTTCTTCTAGTTTCGGTGTTAATACACATATTTCTTCTAATATATGTTCACGTATTTCCTTCTGTATCAATTCATCTTTGATTAAGTCACATATTTCTTTTGGTAAACTTTCGTGGTTCGATAGATCGAAACTAAATTCTAAATTGAAATTTTCTTCTACATTGTTATGTAAACTTTTTCTTCTGCGTAATTCAATTACTGCACATTGACATAATTCACTTTGTAAACGCTCATACATAATCTCTAGTACCCGTCGATACACTGGTTCAAGAATTTCCGTCTGTCCAATTTGTCTCCTAAACCAAAACCTATCTTCATTTGAATACGTTCGATGAACAATCAGTTTCTGTCGTTGTTGTAATGTAGGATAATAGAAGAAAAGCCAATCTGAGCACGGTCGATCGAAAATTCTCTGCAAAGAACATCTTTCATCTTGATCAGGATCAACGTTGTTTTCATTTGTTGTTGAAAGAATTTCTTTTGCACCTTTCTCTATTTTATATATAAGTTTTTTGAGAGATTTTAGTAGCAATGAATTGAAAATAGAAAAACAATGTTCGGCAATTTTATATACGTGATAACGAAGACGTGGTCCAAATAATTCGTAAGCACTTAAAATAAACATAATAAACCAATATATTTGATCGATCACTTTATCATTAGTAAAATTATATTCTTCTTTCGCAATTGCAATTGCAAAACGAACAGCCATGTCTTGAATAACAGATGGCTTAATTATTTGTAAGTATTCTTCTAACATAGGGCTATATACTAAAGTTGAAAAGAAAATAGAATCGACTTCGTGCAAAGTAGGATCTGGTCGTGGCCCAATACCAAGAAAATCGAGAAGAGCAATTATAGGTATAACATCATTTTGTTTAGATAGATGAGTAAATAGTTGTCGAACTGAATGAAACGAAAGTGACTCGAGAGCGAAAGAAAAATGTTTATATTCAATGCGTGGATTGAGTTTATAATGACCATCGTTGTCTCGTGCTGATTCAAAACGATCCGCAGAAGACACCATAGCAGCTAAATATGGAATTTTTTCGATCTTATCATCATCAAGAGTCAAAATTTGACCTGAACCGAAACGAAATGTTTTAATCGTAGTTATTTTCTCACCAATATTGTTGATCATTGTATGAGAGTATCAACGCAGCAATATATATGTTTGATCTATTTATATGTCGTTATGAATATTTCAAGATAACTAAACAATTTAAGATACAAAAAAATACATGCATTTATTCTCTGGATATAGCCTATAACTTTTGACATACATGTGATAAAGCGTTAGTAAGCGAAAAATTTTCTTCAGACACGTTAGTACGAAACAATATTACCTTACGTCTAATTCATTATTGTGGAAAAAACGAAGCATTTTTTTTATTATTCTTTTCTTCCGATTTTTCACGTTGGAAATTTTTAAATACTAGTAAATATGATTCATTTAGGGTTTTTTCCAACTATCACATTTCTTGTTCATTGAAATGTCCTTTGCAAACATTTTGATACCGGTAAAATTATCTGCTCGTTAGTAAGAATTCAAATCAATGATTATGATTTCAAAATGATTCAAGTTACCAAAAGAAAAAACTGTATTTACAACCATTTTGTCATATCTCTTGGTTTAATGACGATGATTTTTCATCAAGTCCTACAATTCAAACTTTTCTTGTATTTTAATATGAGAGACTGAAGCAAATCAATAATTGTGGATGAATTCGCCAAGATGATTTGTGTATCTTATTTCTTTCGATGAATAGTAGATGCTAGTCATCGTCTACTTTTATGCTTTTAGAAGAGCAAATCAAGAAAATCAATATAATGTGTCTTTCGAATAAAAATATCGAAAATAGTCAAGATGAGTTCTTCAAATTCATTACTACCCATAGATACTGTGTCAATGACACAGTGTCATTGATGACAAATAATTCTTATGTTCATAGTATATTGCTTTCAATTGAACTATATCAAGAAGTTGACTATCGTGAAGATGTAATCGCTACATTTTTCTGTCAAAAATTAATTTTGAAGCAATCGTCGCCGAGTCAAAAAAATCTTCGGTGCTTGTTGGTAGAAGTTCGTAGCCATTTGAAATTGAATTAAACGAATATACAGCTCTCGCTATTTGAAGCACAATATATTTTGTATCCAAATCGTCCTACTATCGAATATTTGGTCGTTGCTAACTTTCAACAATCCATTGTATACTCTATGAATATCAATACGAATATCTTTCATCTAATGTTGTTAAGCAACCCATTAACTATTGCCATTCCGGTTTTAGTATGACAATTCGTATTACAAGTATCACTCATAATAGATCTTTTAACATGTAAGAAATAAAAAAATTAATACAATAAAATGGAAGTTTCTTAGTTTTCATTTATTAAAAATGAATTTTAAATCATATTTGTAACATATAGATAAATTAACAAGGTAACTACGTTAACTTATATTTACTGGAAGAATTGCCTTAAGAGTCAGATAAAGTAATTCAAGGTACGGTGGAAATCGATAATCCTAAGAATGTACGAATAAAATGAAATGAATTCGATTCATTAGTCAGTAAACTTAACAAGTACAAAATATTTATGTAAAGAATAAATTTGTCGATATTACCTTCTAGCAACAATTAAGGGTATTGATGAGAACCTGTTGAAAGAAACGTTAAGAAACCGTTATACACAAGAATACATTACCAAGAATTAATTTCTCTGAAATACTTGTAAAAAACCGTGTCATAAATGTCTCATATTCAATGAAGTGTAAAGAATCCAGAATAGATCTTTCGGCAGGTTTTAGCTTAGCGAAACTACTGAAAATGACGATTAATCTATAGAAATATGAAAATGATGTTACAATTACTATGCTCAATAAAGCGCAATCAACTCTACTTTCATTAATTACAAATGAATAATATTTGCATGAACAACATATAAATATTTCTTTGATAGCAAAGCTTCAATCCAATAGAGACAATATCAGTTTGTTTCTTTTTGTTACAATTACATGCATATCTTGTTATTGATCAAAATCAATTGTCTAATGAATAAAATAACAAAAATATTATAGATTCTCTTATATGCATCCAATTTATCATGATAGTATTATTCATATGAATGAATAGATTTTGTTTTCTCTTTCTATAGAAGTAAATAAATATATCATTAGTAATCTTCTGCTAAGTGATGAAAGAAAAATAGAAAAAAATAATAAAAAGAAAGAGTATCCATAACTGTCAGCAAGATATGCATGTCATCACCTTATGGACATAAAGAGATATAAACGATAGAGGCACTTCGTTTCTTTTAAAAAGAAAAGTATTTGATCAACAGCAGAAACAAACTGATGTGGTCTCAACAATTATTTTTCGTTTGGCTTTTTACTTTGACTATTCTAACAACACAAAGTCATGTTATTCATGTTTGTTTTATTAATAGGATCATGAATTTATAATAATCATATAATCATTTATTTAGAAACGAGGTTTACTTTCAAAACTATTTGGTAGTAGTAGTAGTAAATCGACTCGTGATACTGAAGCTGATATGACACCACGTGAACGATCAAAATTTCGTGAATTACTTAAAAATCCAATAGTTATTTCAATGCTCAGTAAATTAATTTTCATTCTTTTTTGCTTATCTATTTCAACTTAATCTCCTTATAAATAAAAAGGTGCTGCTGTTGGTATGGCAATTCAAAAAGCATTATCTGCAAGAAACATGGATGATGTATGTGAAAATAAATATATTAAACTGGCTTCAACAGTTGGCGTTATGAATCCTCAACTTCAACAAGCAGTTAATTTACTTGGTTGTAATGCACCTAATCGAAAGTATGGTAGTAATAAGTCTAAGGATAAATATGGTTCACTAACCACAACCCCTGCTTATGATGCAGATGAAGATAATCAAAATGAACCAGAACAAACGGATGATGAAGATGATAATAAAAATAGTGAAGGAACGTTAGAAAGTGGTTTTCCACCTGAACAACGTTCAAAATTACAACAATTAATTAGTATAACACGTGGTGAAAAAGGTGCTAAACGTAATTTTATTAAAGGTCTTTTTGGTATAAATAAAAAAGATAAAACATTTAAAAAAGGTCAAAAATTACCATCATCATCATATAAAATGGATAAAGATGATGCTGATGCAATGAAAAATCTTGAACAAGAACTCGAACATTTTAATAAAGCGATTAATTAAAAACTTTTTACGAACGAATTTGTATCGCATTTTGCTTAATTAAAATAAAATTTCAAAGAAAATCTAATCTTATGTAAAAAAAAAAAAAAACATTCCTATATCATTCATCAAATAAGATCTAGGGATTTATTGATATTAATTGCAGAAAGAAGAAGAACAGTTCTGTTTCTCATTTCATGCTTTCATACTTTCTCTTTATTATTTCGCACATATCGTATGTCTTATATCATGACAATGGGCACCGTTTAATATATAATTTTCTATTGATTCGATTGAGAAAATATATTTCGAAAATAAGATTCATATTATTAATGAATGCAATCGTAATTACAATATGTGATAACGAGAGAATGAACAAAAATATCGATAAAATCAAGATAGAATTTATTCTCTAAGTCATAACTAATAATAACTACATTGAAAAACAATCAGCAATAAGAAAACATACTATGAGTTCATCAAGTAAATTAATATTCATCGATGTATTTATTTTGTCGATAAAACTGTTAAAGCAGTTGATATTGCTCATGTAAAAGGTGCTAGTAAAGAAATTTCACCTAATAATCCTCGTAAAAATGCTTATACTGTAAATATAGATCAACTTTTAGGTGATCAAGCAATCATTCATGAAGCTCCTGTCATAGCAATAACTGAAACGAGCAAATGAACAAAAAAAAGTAATATTTCTACATCAGAACATTTTAATGTGCGAAATTCAGTAAATATGCATTTTTTTGCGAATACTTTATATTGTGTTAGAAGTAATCACATGCCGCTAGCTATATCAATCATCTAGAAATCATGCATCGATCCTCATTCGTCTAAAATTTGTTTGCATAAAATAAATAAGATTTTGATTTGAATAAAAGAATTTTTTTCTAAAGGAAGTATCAAAAACAACAACAAACTTTTCAAGGAAATCTTCTAACTGATTCTATGTACTAGGCTTGATCGTTTAGTCATAAATAGATTTCAGTGGAACGAAGAAAAAATTCCTAAGAATCCTATACTAAAAACCAATGTTGTCTGTTAATAGCTTAGAATGACGAATATATGAAACGTGATTTGCCATTTTGAAAAAATGGCACACATAGAAAATGATAATAAATTCGTTAGTCTCATTATTATTCTTTTTTTGTTTGTTTACATGTACACTACTGTTGCTATCGTTGTCATGTTTAGACTTATTGCATATTTGTCTAAAACAATAAGTGACTTGCTTATAATCATCAAATGAAATTCGATTTTTATTGTTAATGATGATATTCGTAACAATGAAATACGACATAAAACTTGAGTTATTTGTCAGTACTTGAATTGAAACTTTACGTAACGAAAAAGAAGATTAGCCATGTTATGTGCAACAAAAAATATATCATCAGACAATTTATGATTATGAGGAAAATTTTATGAAAAAATAACATTGTTTTTTCGTACAGAGGCGTTCATATCTTAACAAGGATATATCTGAAATACGCAGCCTTTTGAATTTTTCTTAGTCTTACTAAAATGTACTTGTAGCAAAAAGAAATGAAGTCCAAAGCTCAAAACTACTTAAGCTATTTGTCTTATTTGTGGAGAAACATCAATTAATCATAAATGTCAGGTAGAGATTATGAGATAAATAGGATTTCTGTTGTTCTGATAAAGCATCTGTTGATAGGTAATATTCAGATAATATTGAAAATAATCAGTAAAGATCCAACAAAACATATTTAAGTTAATGTCTTATCAAAAGATTAGATTTATTTTCTTTTTCTCTAAAAATGAAGAAATTTGTCATATGTTTTCTATGAAAAATCATATTTTGATTTCATCGATTTTTGTCAATTTATCAATTATTTTTCCAAGCTTTTTAGCTGATAATATAACTTACTTATCATAAATATTAATCGGCATAAGATTACAATTCTTTTGAGAAGTAAGAAAACTTTAATACAAAGTTTTATAATTTATTATTTTTCGTTCAATTCGTACTTTTTATTCTGTTCGGTGATTCTGTTTTTATCCAAGGACATACTGAATAAGAGACTACAGAAACATCTTTTAAAATACATAAAAAATTTCTATAATAAAAACCTAAACTAGATTTTTCTGTTTTAGATGTTTTCATAAGTTTCTAAGATTCAGATAAAATCGATGAATATATCGATATAGAAGCACATTTTTATCAATTACAAATTTCAACAATTCGTATTAATATACATTCAAATCCGTTCGATTATAAAGTCATAACCTTTCAACATATATTCATATATAAAAATCTGAAAGAGTTATTTTGTTTTCGTTGAATAATAAAAAATAAATTTTAAATATTAATACGAAAATTATCAAATCATGTTCAAACAACATTAATAAAGTCAAGATTATAGATTGAATTTTAGCTTTTTTGTTTGTTCTAAGCATACGTCAAAATTTTTCATTTATTTTTCTTTCATCCGTCCGTCTGATCAACTATTTTGTTGTTCTGCTTATCCATATCTATTCAATTCAAATCTTGGACGATGAGAGAAAATATTCGTTTCTATTGTTTTTATTCTTTCGGTGGTGTGACATTCATATACAAACGTATACACATAGGCGCTTGTTATCACTAACTGGACAGAGCAAATACCAGCAATATCAATAAAAATCAAAACAAACAAAACGCATGTACAAAAATTTTCTTTTGAAAACAATATACTAAATGTCATTACCATCATCTATTCATCAAGCTCAACGAGAAGCTTATAGACATAAACTTATGTTTGAATTAATGTTTTATGATAATGAAGATATTGATTTAAAACGATATATTCGAGCATTTGTAAGTTTTATTAAATAATTCTTCTTCTTTTTTTTGTTTTGTTTCGAATAATATTATTATGGTTATTTAGGATATGAGATTATCACGTAATACAGCATTTTCAAAAATTCCGTGTGGTCCAGTTATTATTATTGATAAATCCAAAATTGCATCATGGTCAACAAGCAATTCAAAATATAAAACTGAATTATGTAAATATTATATTGAAACAGGTACATGCAAATTTGATGGTGATTGTACATTTGCTCATGGTCCTGATGATTTACGAAATGCAAATCATAAATCAGTTTTATGCCGACTTTTCCATATGACTAACAATTGTCCTTATGGTAAAAATTTTGTTTTGTTTTTTTTTTATTATAAAGGATAATATAATTTCTGTTTTCTTTTTGTATATTTTTTTCTTAGGTGAAAATTGTGCATTTATTCATGATGAATATAAACGTTCATCGATTATAATTAAACCAGGTTATATTTATGCACCACGATATGTACAAGCAAATGGTGATCAAACAACAATTGATGAACAAGAATATCAACAACGTTCAAGACGTTCAAGTTCTGGTTATGCATCAATCGACGAACAATTATCGATTTAAATAGAAAAAATAATAATAATAATAATGGTGACGGCAAATAGTCGTTCCCATCCCACGATTGATAAATTATATTTTTGATATCTAAAAGAATAGATGTCCTTTTTTTTCTTTTAGATTATTGCAAATGAATTTTTCTTTTTCTGTGTTTCTTTGTACGAAAATTTATTGCTAGATTCTATCAGATATCTTGTTTATTAGTTTTATATATAATATTGTTATCTTATTGAGTATACTATGATAAAATATGTTTGAATTTTCAAGAGTTCAATTGGAAAGAGTACCAGAATTTTTTTTTTTTGCTTTATTTTTTGTTCGTTGAATTAATATTAATCTTATTTATTATTATTATTTTTTTTTTGTGTTATTTGATTGAATTGTGTGACATGTTGAGAGAATATATATATGTGATAATTATAAAATATATGAATAAGAATTTGTTTTCATAAACAAATCTATTATATATAACTCCTGATGAAATTATGTTTTCAAGAAAAATTTTTAATTTTTGCTATATATGAATATTGGATTTCAATCGATGAGTTCTAATATTTATGCTTCTTTATAACAAGAAAACAAAGATTCGCTATTGAACTATTGCATACTATTATTCATTAAACAAAACTAGTCACTCGATCCTTCGTAGAATGTATAGGATAAAAATAAAAGAAGATAAAATTTCGTAATGATTACTGATTAAGTCCAGAAAAAAGTGAATTAATGAAAATAAAACTCTGCTCATGTGTCTGTTTGATACATGAAAGTAAAGCGGCCTAGGTCATAATATGTTGCATCTTGCTATTCAACGAAGTTTCTTTTTAAGTTAACAATCTCTTACTAATTCATTTTAGGAGATTGTCAATAAAATACGATTGTTTATATTACATAGTGATAAAAAAAGACAATAGTATGTAAGAATCATCATTTTATTCTTATCTTTGTGTTCCCTAGTGAATGTACTGAGTTCAAGGTACTCATGTACTGAAATAATTGTCAGCAGAGTACCTTTTCGGATATCTTGCTGAGAATTGTCTCGATATATGATTACTCACTAGATGCCCGCCCTGTTTCTATAGCATTCTATGAAAAAAACCTTTCAAAAAATTAGTAGATTGTATATTTAGAAGGATGTTGTAGTCAAGTAAATAAAGATATACTTTTCATGTAGATTTATGATTCTTAGTGCCATTTAATTTAAGTGATTCTTAAAATGCAGAAAAAAGACCATCGTCAGTTAGCGCAATCTATCATTGGTTATAAACACGGATTCGTCGATCTATGAATCATAGTTGACAACAGATTAGCTGTATCTACTAGCCGGACTTCCATTTATTTTTTTGTACAAATTAATCTTCAGATTGTTGTATATGCATGCTGTTTCATATTTTGTCGTTATTCTTCTTCATAAATCGAATTGATTTATCGATAACAGAAGGAGAAAGATCAATCAATATAAAATGTATTGATTTACTTGTTGGACAATATCGTTGCCAACAACCAAAAATTGATGATCAAACACAAGAACCTCAAGGTTGTGAACGACATCCTTTAATATTAAACGGGGTAGAAAAATTTATTGATACAGCTCCAATAAGTTGTTATACAGCTCCAAAAATTATTTGTGAAGGAGGAATTTATAATGAAACATTAGATGGATATGTTTTTGAAAAACATACATCATGTCGATGGACAAATGGAAAATATTATCGTACAACATTAATTTTATCCTTATTTTTAGGTATTGAAATATTGTTTCAAAAAGAAAAATGAATTATTCTTTTTTTGATATTTTATTAGGCATTTTTGGTATTGATCGTATTTATTTGGGATATTATGTTAGTGGTTTGCTAAAATTATTTACTTGTGGTTTTATGCTTGTCGGTGCTCTAGTCGATTTTTTGTAAGTAAAATAAAATTTTCTTATCTTAAAACTAAACATTATTTTCTATATGATAGATTAATTGCTCTTCAAGTTCTTACACCTGCTGATGGTTCACATTATATCATTGATTATTATGGACCTCGTCTTTTATGGACAGAATTTAATGAAAATCGAACTTATTTAAAACCACAAAACTATTAATTCTATTGTTTTTTTTTCCTTGTATATGTGTTATTTCTTGTTAAATTTATTTTTATCATTCTCATTATGCAATACTAAGAATTAAAGTCAGGTGTTATTATTTGCATTTTTTTTCTTTACATAAGAAATAAGTACTTATATTCGAAATTTGAATGTTTGTTGTTTGTAGATTATATTTTTAAGATATTCCAGAAAAATATGTTACTGATAAAAATCTTGGTAAATGAAATTTTCAAATAGTTTGACAATCTAAAAATCTTGTCAAATCAAATATATAGGATAAGCACAAAAATTCTTGCATTTTGATATATCTTTTCATAGAAAAGACATTCCATCAATTTTCTTATACAATATATTCGAGATAATTATTCTGATGTTCGATATATAACTTCATCATTTTAATGCACTATTGAAAGTATATTTTCGAAGTACACAATTGATATCAAATTAAATTCGTTAGTTATTATTCCGGCTAAGTTGTTATAACTGTTGATTATCTAGTCTATGTTGAATACATGTCAAAAAGGATAGGTGTACATGTATATTTCAAAATGAATATATTTGACAAGCCTTCATTTGTTTTTCTCTTCTATTTTAAAGTAATAATAAAGTTATATTTCTTACGTTCCTCATATAAAGATAATCAAACCTGATGAAAGTTGGTCATGATGACATTTTCTTTTTCTTTATTATTCTAATCTTTGGCACAAACATAGATTATATTACTAGTCACCATATAAGCTACTGTATGATTAGCAACTGTCAAAATATCATAAAAATACGAATAAATACTACTTTTTTTTGTCGTTGCTATCAATGAATGTCGTTTGTTGACTAAAATTTTCATTACTTATTACATTCTCTGAATTTATGAGTTCTCAAAAAGCCTAGTAAAATTACTATGATAATCAAGAAGCTCAGTTCAATACGTGTTGTGTATTTCGAAAAGATATTTGAAGAGCATATTAAAAATATGAGATTGCATATCGAACATTAGAACAACAGCTTTCTTGGATATACAGTGTCAAGAGATGAATAAAATCTCTTTCTTATGAAAAGATATATCGAAATACAAAAATTTTTTGATCATATCAAGTATTCAAACTTTCTAGTCTGGATAGGTTTATTCTTATCTACATTCATGATTATTTTATTAGTAAGCAGGTGTTAACCATATGACAATGAATAATTATTTAATATCTTTTATACACCTAGATAACAATTAGTTCCGCTTTTCAATCGGCAGTCGGTATCCGGTCTTGATAATTGGAGTAAATTACTGTATAAAAACGCTTGAAAAATACACATAGTTGAGTTGACGAACAGTTCCACGTCAATTATTTTTACTTATTGAACATGATAATTCCGCATAAATACAAGATAAGCCCATCATAAATTAAAGTGAATGTCAGTCAATGTCGTTCTTATTCCTGACTTTTATGCTTGCTGATTCATTGTGTTTTTAATGACTTTTTCTAAATATAAATTTACGCTTGCAATTCCAATATGTCAATATTCATAAAATCTAGGCAGTAATATTTGATATTATATACAGTTTGTTTTTTGCATATAAACTTGACAAAGTTGAACAAAGCAATTTTGAATATACTCTTCAGTCACATTAGTTATTAGATTAAAAGCAAACGAATATAAAAATGTAAGTATTTATGTATTTTTTACTTAGAACATTTCTTCTCATTTAAATTCATTTACTCAGAGTAGTTTTCCACTAGCGAAAGAGAATGTCCCAATCAAAAATAATGTTAATCCTAGACGCTGTTCTTTATCTTTATCTGTTCGGAAATGAAGGGAAAATATTTAAAAAATAACTAGAAATGTTATTTCAATAATTAAGAACGAATGGATAACAATCTATAATATTAATTTTTTTTTCTTTTAGATCTAAACAAAAAAATTAAAATTGTTTTTTTTTTGACACTCATAAATATTTCATTAAACTTTAAAATAAGTATATTCCAAATGTCAATTGACTCCATACAGCAACATTTTTAGCTGCTTAATATTTTAATTAAAATAATAATACAATATTTGTCTATGGATTTTTTTCTTTTTCTCCAATTACGAATGTTTAAGTATTTTTATAGACTCTCTTGAGAAATCTACTGGCCATTACGAATTACTTTCTGTTTTTTCACTAATCATTTTAGCTATTTCTTTTAGTACCTAGGTAAAGAAAAAAGGAATTCCATTTGTGTCAGACTACTTCAATTTGCTAATTTTATTTTATTTGTTTTTCAACATTTTTAATAGTACTTAAAGGTTTAACTGTATTTATTCGTCAAATATTATTTTATTCAACGGTTCATGACACATTCAAATATGGTAACTGTAAGGATGTATCATCTATTAGATAATGAAAAGAAAATTTTAAAATTCTCATTATAGAAATACATAGTCCGATAATTTGTTTTCATATTGATAAACATTTTAAATGAATTTATTTTTTCTTCTGGTTGTCGTTACTGATCGAGAAGTTTTTTCTTTATTATTATTAAAAGAAAAGATAGCACTGTGTTGAAAAATTCATAGAGAATTGCTGATTTTCTCAACTCATCATCGAACTTGTGCAATATTAGAAAAAGGCAATATTTGTTGATAATTATTTAATCGAAATCATCTGAAATTTTTTAGTGAAGTTTTTGTTTCATAAACAATGTCTTCGGTGTTCAATAGATTTAAATTTGAAACAATTTAAGTAATGAAAAATGAGCTTATTTAGTTGTGATATTCTATACATTGATTTACACGTACAAACGTAGTGAGTTCGAGTACGTATGAAAATTCCTAGAAGCGTGATTTTTCAGTCGGATTGTTTCTGATTTGAACCTAACTGAGATATATTATATGAGAACTCAACGAAATAATAATTTATCTCGCATAAGTCTTAGATTAATCGAATCGAATCGAATAACGAGAAGTGAAGCTATCGTTATGGAATCCTCCATCGGTCCTGAGAGACATTTCATTGACAGATGTTTTTTTCAATCTCTTTTTTTTTATCTACGTTAATGATTATTCATATTTTCATTTAACTAATGAAAAAAGTAATTTAATCTTCAACATACGAATTTTTATTATGCCTACAAAGTTTCAATGAATCGTTTTACTTTTATTAAAAATAAACTTTTCATTTATTGGTTATGAAAAGTTTTAAATTATTTCTATAATTCATATTTTACAAAATTAAATAGTGTATTGTTTTTTTTTGTTTTTATTTCAGATACTTGATTTATATTTCATAATGATTTATTTTCATTATTTTATTTCGTTATTTTTTCTAATATGTTTTATAAAAACTATTCATTCATCTGTTTCATTTATGAAGAATCCTGGATGTGATTTAGCCGAATGTCAAACTTCGGGTTATCCAGTAATATTTTATGGCAATCATTCTATTGATGATGATACAATTCATATATTATATTCGTCATTCGATGAATTAACAATTAGTATTATTCAAACAAAAAAAGGTTATGGTCCACGTATTAATTATACAGCATTATTTAACAAGAATTATTCAAATGCAATTGTATTTGAAAATACAACACCATTAAATTCATTTTCATTGATTATTCGACGTTTAATGAAATTTAATGATAAAGATGATACGGGTCGTTTAAATAAAGACGATAATTCAATAGAATCATATTGGTTAAATGAATTAAAAACAAATATTGCTCGTCGAGGTAACAATACAAATCAACCATCATTTCAATTACCATTAGATATTGTAAATATTGATTGTTCTTTATTTGTTTTCAAAACAGGAAAAAGAAAACTTTTTATGGAAATTTTTTAGATCAATGGTCTATTAACTATCGATATAAATTATCCAGGTGAATCAATGCGTGATGCCAAGTTTCCAAAATTACATTCAACGTCAAAAAGTTATTTTCTTAATATAGCTTTGAAAGCAAATAATTATACATTACCAAATACACGATTTGCATTAGAATTTTATATAATACAATTAGGTATTGAAGGTACACAATTTTCATCATCAAGATATATCGATGATCAATATACACCAGGTATATATGAAATTTTTATTTAATTTATATATTATCGAGGCTTGAAAATAAAGAATTTAATTATGATATTAATAAATCTCTTTGAGATTATTTTGAAGTAAACAAAAAATCCTATCTCTGACAGTTCTTATTCTATTCGTCATCGTTTTATTTAGAAAAAAATATCCTAAAATACTTCGTTGTAAATAGAAGTTTCTTTTTTTTATGAATTAGTAAATAATATCTTTGTTTGAACTTTAAATTTATATTTAAAATAAATTCGAATTATTTTATTTTCAAAGGTATTTTTAACGTTTGGCAAATAAAATCACTTAGTTCAATATATTCATCATCTATATTATGGAAACCTGTTGTATATCAAAGTGTTGATCGATCAGTAGAAAAAACTACTTTAATGGAAATATATGATTTAAAAAATAATATATCACTTCAAAAATCAATTGATCAAGGAATTTTTAATAGCTTTTATGTTCAACCATATGTATCAGCTTTTAATATTTCATTTGGTCGAGCTAAAGATGGTATGTTATTGTTTGGTTTTCTTTTTTGTTAATATTTAATTTTTCTTTTTTACTATAAAAGGCTTCTTTGCCAAATCAAATTATACATTTATTCAATTTACAGCTGGTTTAGATATACTTGAAGCAGATTCAGTAAAAAAATTTGTTACAATTGCACTTATTGCTAGTCTTGTTCTACCAGGTTTAGTTGCATTTATTGCAATTTTATTTATTATAAAACGTCAATGCTCGATGAGACATATCAGCAGTTATGATGTTATTCAAGATTAAACAATTAAAAAAAAAAAACATTGATAACTTTTTGTTCTATTATCATTTTTCAACTTTTTATATTTGCGATGGATTCTTTTTTCTCATTTGTTAACCATTGTGATTTTTTCATTTTAGTCTAGTCAATGAAGTAAAGTCTGATCTATATGATAATAAAAACAAAGCAATGATCTGTTTACATATTTCATTTGTTTTTCTTTTGAAGATCTTAGAAAATGTATATTTTGATTTTGTTTGAGCACTTTTGTGTACCAAATAATTTCTTATTATCTATCCGGAGACCTAGATAAAGCAAATAATGAATATATGACATCAATAATGACTTTATTAATTTAATAGTGATGATTTTTAAAAACAATATCAATTTGTATACAATGTTTAACTCTAACTAAAGAACATACTTTTAAAAAAGTATAATTGTATGACGAAGAGTTTCTTAATTATTATATTTCATTTTTTCCGACGACTTTCATGTTAATATTTTTACATGAATAGATCTTTGTCAGACATCAATTTTTTAATGATTATTTTATCAATAGAAATCACCGAATGTATTAAGATTAAGCATCGAAACAAATCTTCATGATCCGAAGGAATGATTGTAACATTTTGATGATTCTACATTACAAACGTAATGGCCTTGTTTAGTATTATTGCTTTTTTTTCTTAAAAAAAGTAATCAAAACGAAAGAAAAAATATTTTTCCTAAGAGCCTACTTTTTCTTCTTAATTCATTCTTTTTGACAAGCTTAAAGTCGATAATAATCAAACATTTCCCGTAGAATCCAATTGACATATACATCAAAAATATGTCTGTAGAGAATTGCATGTAACTTTTATCTTCTTATATACATGTTTATGAATTCGTTATTTGTTATGCTTATTCATTAAAATATACGAAAGATAAAATTCAATAAATTAATTAATTGTTGATTGAGAAAATTGTGTTTTTTATCGTAAGAAAAAAAGCAACAATTTTAGTGTATTCTAGTCTTTCAAATAATATAAAGGTATGTTAAAAGAAAAATTTCTTTTTTTTTTTTTTTTTATTTATTACATTTAATTTTTTCTATTTAGAAAAAAGAATGAACACAATTGCTCGCTCGCTCTCTTATAATTGTGTGCGATAATGTAACATTCTCCCGCAGAGTCGTTTTTCAACGAACTTATTTCTTTTCAATCAACCGAATAGAAGCAATATTATAAAAAAAAAAGAAGAAATCCTTATTGATATAGGGCTTTTATCAAAAAAAAAAATTTAAATGACAAATGTTGTACTACGTGTATAGGTTGATGTAGGACGAATACGACATGATACTTGCGGTTTTTGTGTCCATAAATATCGATGAAATAGATCTTGTTTTATTCGATCAAGTTCATTAGATTTATCAGCTAGTTTATTATGTCCTTGCTGAGTACTTGAACGTTGCTTAGTTGTTGTTTGCGTAGCATAGCGTGATGTACGCGGAAGATTAAACACATTAGAAAAATATTCAGGTCCCAACATTACTAAATCAGATAAACGATAATCCTTTTGACGATCACGATATGGTATATGAGTTTGAGCTGATGGAGGTTTTCGATGAGAATTTAAATATGATTGAGATGATGTATCATTATTCGATTGACGAGTTACTGTTTCATCTTGAGATATATGTGGATGTTCAGCATCAGATTCAGTTGTTACAGGATTTTGTACTTGTTCAAGTGTTGTTTGAAGATCAGTTGATTCTTCAGAAATATCTTCGGCAAGAGAAAATTTTTGTTGAACTAATTGATGACGCATACGTGATGCCGATGTTATTGTTAGAGATGTATTAGATAATGAAAAATTACTAGCTTGACTAGTACGCATTCCTCCAATTTGTGGCAAATTAAATTGATTAACTGAACTTCTTCGACGGTTCGATTTCGTAGGTTGATATACATTAGAACTAGGTTCTTTCGAAGAAAATGTTTGTTTATTACTAGTTGGTATTTGTTTAGCTTGTCCTGATCTTGGTACATAAATTGAATTTTCACCTGCAAATTCTAATATACATTCTTCAACACAATCTTCTAATGTTGATTTAAATATTTCAGAACATTTGCCATTAACAACAAGTATTTTAACTGGTGTTTGTTGTTTAGCTTGTTTAGTTTCATTTGTATCGATAATTGATGATTGTCGTCCAGTAACAATACTACTACGTCGTAGTCGTGCATTAGCAGATGCCATATGAGAACTAATTGAACTAGTACGACGCGATGATGTACTTGATTGAGTCTCGGACAAAACTAAAGGAAATTTATATATATATATATATATATAAATAATATAGTTATCGAGTGTTCGCCCACTTCAATCTGATTGAAAAAGAAAAAGCCGAGGAAATGAGAAACTTTTCTGTCATTGGTCAAATCAAGATCAATTTCAATATTTTTTTCAAAATAACTTGTTTTTCTTCTTACTCGCATTTTTTAAATTTAAGAAAAAAAGAAGAAATAACTTCGCCCTTGACTATTCTTGCCTACATACTCTATAGTTTTATGTTTTAGTCACACGCTTCATGCTGACAGCTGAAGAAGGTTGGGTTTTTTTTTTCTAACTTTTTCTTAAACCATAGAGTATTTTTTAATTGTCATCTTCTATGTCGATTTATTCCATATATATATATATATTTAACTTTTATGTCAGTACTCATTTTATTCTCGTTTTTTTTTCGAAAAGTTATATACGCATAAATATGTCAAGAATATGACGATTACTTTACAGAACTGATCATATATCATTGCACACAAAAAAAGGTTAATCAAAAATATTACCTTCATCATCAATCATATCTTGACTCATCTTTGTGTTTGTCTTTGAATTCTTTCCCTATATCGTTGATCAAATTTGATTTGACACAAAAAGAACATGGCATATATATATATATACATACATGATTATAGTAGGCACATACATTATTTGAAAATTGAAGCCAAACTAGTACCTACATATATGTATGTACATTTAATTTTTATGCAAATATGCATGAAAAAATAGCAAATCAAAGGATAAAGTTTTTTTTTCGTTATATTATTATTGTAATAGATCTATTTGTTTGAGAAACGAAAAAAGTGCCGGAATTTGTTTAAATTAATAGTTTATAAGTATGCCCGTAGAAGGATCTCATAAAGTATGTCAACAAATATACTTGTTTTATTCAGAGTATTTTAAGTAAATATAGTCGTATGCATTAGTTAATTCGATTATATAATGTTTCAAACAATTCTTTATTACTGTTCAGATCAAATACGTTGGCAAATAAACTATGTACATGGATTTATTTATCCTTCAAAAGACAATATTCAAAAAATTTCTTTTTCTTTTTTTTCCAAAAGAATAGATGAATAATGTAGTGTCAAATTTCCTTGATCATGTTTTTTTATTTCAAATAAAAAAAAGATATAATTTTACATAAGAAAGAAAGAACGAAAGAAAAAAAAAGACATTTCCATTTCTTATATAAAAACGTCTTCACTTCAAGATGCTATTATTATTATAAATTATTATTTTTTTCTTGTCACTTAATAAACAACAAAAAGGTGTAATTATTCATTAATTAATATAAATTTGTTTTATATGAAGGATGTACTTGATTGAGAATAAACCAAAAAAAAAAAAGAAAACAAATATTCATAATTTATATACAACAATATTTGCTTTTTTTCACTGATGTTTCATTTGATGTTGAAGTTTCTTTCCATGCTGTTAAATAGTGCATTGTAAAAAAATCATTTTGTATCCAAAAAAACTTATTTATTGCCATTACAATGGCTTGTCGTGTCTTATCATCAATATTATCTGCATTCCATAAAACGTCAATAAGTAAATGTTCTAAATAACCAAGCAATGCATTTATATGTATATAATCAACATTAATTGATAATGAACCAGCTTTTTGTGTATGCATCTTTCCAATATGAGATAAATATTGAAGAAACGTATCATTCCATTCACGTTGTGTTAATACACGTTTTAAATACATACTTAACATATCTTTACGAAATGTCATTTGGGCTGATTCTAATGTTATATTACCATGTTTTTTCGGAACAAAACCTTCAAAACCTTCATTATTAATTAAAAAATAATGCTTTGTAATATCAAATGAAAATAATTTTCTATAAACAGTATCGGTTATAACAGGTATACGCGGAAAAAGTATTGGCGCAAATGTATTAAGCATAGCAATATCATCTGATGTAAAATTTAAAAATTTTGATAAATATTCAAAACGATAACGAAGATCACTATTAAGTCGGTTACTGTCAATGTGTTCGGTCATTCTAAAAGAGAAAAAAAAGTTCTAAATCGTATTTTCCTTGTTGGTTTTTCATGAACGCAAAATATTTTTTCCAGTTTTTTTTTTCGCTGTTAAAACCCAAGAGAGAAAGAGAAAGAGAAGAAAAAAAGAAACGATAGAAACAATAAGTGCAAAACTTTCTATCCACTTTTCATGAAACGCAAATAATATAGAAAGAAAAAAGGCTATATGTGAAATATATTTTTACATCAGGATTTCCGCCTGAACAATGTCTGTTGCGTTATTCAAGCGATAAATTATATAGGTCTATTTTAGTATTGAGAGAGGGCTCATTTTCATAAAATATAAACACTAACGGGAAATAAGATTTAATAAAAATTCAATAAGAAAGAATAAAATTAAGTAAGACTCTTTTTATAGTTCAATATGCCTTGAATATTTATTTTTTGAGCATTTTATTTTAATTTAATTTTGTAATATGGAATTAAATCATAGTTGTTCATTTCCTTCGATTTTTTGGCGAAAAGCACCTGCTATTCATTTCCTGGAGAATGCATTAGGCGCAAGGACAAATATTCTACTCAACCAAGAAAAAGGTTATGCTTCTAGAATAGAATATTGCAACATCGAGTGCTAGAAAAAAGAATGAATAGTTTATATGAAATATAACGATGGCTTTTCTCACGACATTGTCATTGATAATAGACATGTAGATTAATTTATATTTGGAGTCTTCACTTTTTTTTATGACACGTACCTTGTGTTAATCCTTTACCAGGCTTTCTTGCTTGGCTCAGAACAATCCACGAATCAGTTCTTCAGTAATAATGTATACAAGCAGCTTATTTCTTCAATGACAATATACTATATTGGTCCCTATTATAATGTTTGATGATCAGAAAATCTATTTCTTATATGTCTTGTATTTACACGAAATCGTTTTTTTTCTTCCTTCTGTCAGACATTGACAACTGTTTATCGAGCTAAATTGGTATCGATCAAATATTCATCCATCTTTTTCACATTATTTAAAGAAAACGCTTATTTTTATGTTCATGCAAGTGACATAAATAAAAGAAAGTCTTATCAATCTCTTTTAATTATATGAATTGATTTCATATGTTGCGTTTTATTTAACAATGTTGACTTCAAAAGAAAAAATCTAAATAGTCGACAGCAAAACGTCAAGCCAAGTAAATCGGATTAGGAAGATATCATTTATTAATGAATGAAAAATCTTACTTGCTTTTTTTTTCTTAGCAAATAAATAGAATAAAACCTAAAGAAAAGAATCTACTCTTTTATACCTACTGTTGATAGATTTATATTATCTTAAGTAGAAAAAAAATCAATACTATACGCCCCAATAGATAGTTGATAATGTCAATAGTATTTTATCATCGAGTAATTGTCATGAGACTATCCAATCAGTAGTATATACAAATGTCAATGTAAGACGTAGATAGAAAAAAAAAAGAATTACGAATAATATAAAATAAACAAACATGATTGGAATTTTGTCACAGAAACTGTTAATAAACCCGAACAATCAAATTTTTATATAATGGAACGAATATTAAAAATTAACTTCAGTTTTTTTTCTTTCAAATCTATATTGTATTATTTGACTTTTTCTTCATATTAGCTCGACAAATGAAAAAAAAATGTGCCTTAACAAAAGCAAAGTATAAATATTTTATATCGATGAAAAATACAACGATAGAAAACCAATTCGTAATATGATTATTATTTGTCAACGAAAAGAATTAATATGGGTAATTAGTGATTGATAGTAAACTTGAAATCAGATTTTATACAAATAGTTCTCGCTTACATATTCCCTAGGTATCAATCATTGCTGAATTTTTACTGTTGACTTTCGAAGAAAAAAAAACTAACAAATAATCTTATATCTGAATATTTGTTCTTAAAATAAATTATAAACGCTTTAAGATAATTATAATAATAATTAGCTTGGTTATTTTAAAGTGGAAAAAAGAACAATATTTATAATATAGATGAATTTGAATTTAATGTTCTGTTTTTTTGAAAAATTTTCTTAGAAATGATTTTCTACCTTATTTGATCGTTAAGCACATCACTTCCTATGTGACTTTAGTATCTAAGCATCGTTTTATTTTTTCTTAATCAGTCATCTTGCGAATTTTATGGTTTATTCACTTTTTTAATTTAATACGCAGAATCGGTGATGCATTTTATGTTTAGAGACTATTAACTCAGCATTTTCCTTTATTTCTTTTGTATTTCTTTATTCAGTTGAAATAACACTTACACCCTTCGTCAGAAAGTCTTATCTGAAATTGATACAAATTATATAAACGTAACTAATAAAGCAAATGATTAGCAATAAAGTTTTTACTTCATTCCAATAATTAAAAAAAAATCATACGAACATGTCTTATTCTTTCAAATATAAAATAATATTTCCAAGGTATTCTAGTAGAAAAAAAAACATGTAGGACAACCTACTTCTTTTTACTTTGAAAAGAAAAGTATATATTCTTTTGAAAAGCATGAAACTTTTTTAAAAATAAACTATTGTAGTATAGAATAAAGAAAATATATTTACGTTTGAATAACATAAAACACCGTGACATATAAGTATTTTCTGAGTATCAACTTCTTCCGACTTAAATCCGTAATTATAATTAATTTATATTTACGTTTGAGACTCTCTTCGTTAATGCATTTATGTCACGAGTACTTATTCCTTTATTTATTTTTCTTCGCATATAGCTTTTTTTTAATTGCTGTGAGAAGAATTACAGTTTAACTAGTTGTAACCTATTTACGCAGCTACATATAGGAGATTTACTGTTTCATATCTGAAATAGATACTTATATGAAAATGAACACCGAAGATAATAATGTCGATAAGATAACATATCAATTTGCCATAAAACTCTAGGTTTTATATTAGTAACAAAATATGATACTGAAAGTTACACAAAAAACACAAGGACATTATTATATCTTGTTATGAAATCTGTTTATGATAAAATAGATGATAGAAAAATTGGTGAAAAACAGAGAACCAAACAAAATATTGTTATTCGTTTATGGATTGAAAATTATATTTATATATCCTGTTTGCTTAAAGTAACGTATATATATCTTGTTCAACAAAAAAATTCTATTAAGGCATCTGTTGATGATTATATTTTAGTTTTATCTATGTTTGTGGATCTAAAAATTTTACTCAATAAACTTTTAACTATATGTTTTTTAATGCTATTAGCATCAGTTATTACTCCATTTATTATTCAAAGGTCAACAATCTTTCAATAGGTGAAATTAATATAGAAAATTTCAATCGAATAGAACTAGTTACATGACTAAAATCATTTCTCTAATTCAGATTTAAATTGTTAATGAAAATAATAATTATCTATGTGTAGAAATAAATAAATTTAATTTTTTTTTATATTCTCTAGTCTGATGATAATTACCAAACATAACATCTAAAATACGAATATTTTTATAAAATTATAGAATTTTTTGAATATAATCATCGATTTTGAGTTTTCAAAGATATAACAATTTTTAATGTTTATTGTAATATTGTTACATCGTACATGTCATTCTATAGGGAATAACGCCATAGAACTAACCAAGTATTTGATAATCAGTGATTAATAATAATTATCATCGTTATTTTACGATTTAGATTTAATTCGTAGTTTCTTTTTCTTCTTTATAAATTTAATTATTTCAATTTGTTTCAAATGCTATTTAAAAATCATCTATTTTGTTCTTTTGAAAGCGATATTTATTACTAAATAGAGATTAGTATTAAATGGTTATGAAGTATTTTAATTATAATTTTGAATTATATTATTTTACTTAGAAACAATTTTATTTACGATCTAAAAGGTTAAATGATACTTCTTTATCGATTAATAAAAGCTATTCGAACTTAATATTGTAACAGATTCCCTTGCTAATACGAAAAACATCAATGTACTTGTAGATTAATCAAGCTGTCTGCAATCATTGTATATCAAGAGACTGAATATTGTTGTGTTTTCTCTTTCTTGAATAATAAACAGAAAATAATAACAAACTTGTATATGTAAATAGAGAGGCATAAGCCAATCGGCTGATCTGCCACAGATGATTACAAAAATTCTAAAGATATTCGCGCCGCCTAGTTTCAAGCGATTCAACTGCGTGATCGCGACACAAAAATAAATATTTGTTCTCAAAAAATTTTTGACGTCATAAATCAATTTCTTTTTGGAGATGTTACCATTCTGGTTTCTTATTGACGGCTTACAGATTTATTTGTATGCACATAATAAAGAGTTCTATTCTGAACAAGAGACAATAAAAAAAAATTATAATATGACATATATTTAGTCATAATTATTTAGTATTCATGTCACAAGATATTCCTTACAATAAAATAAACTCCTTTCTTTTTCAATTAAAAAACTACCTTTTATTCGTGTTATGTCCTTATAAGACAAATCCCTAATGATATCTTAAGAGCAAATCAGTAGTAGTCTCCTTACTAATGACAGATCTTTTGGCAGTTATAGCTTCAAAGATATACTAATAACAATGAAAATTAGACTATGACTTCCAAAGGTATCTAAGAAATAAAGATATGACAAGGTAAAGAATATACTTGAGGCTTTCCAAAAGTAGTGGGAGTGGTATTTTAATATCTTATATAAAGCTTGAAGAAACTTTTTCTCTATATGGACTGATAGTACAAACGATGCTCTTTTGCTCTGTCACGTGTGGCAGTTATACTAATGCATATTTAAAAGAAGGCTGAGTGGATATATTTTCAATAACTTCTGATAGGAATAAGATTGAGAGTCTGCAGCTTTCATTGTTCGAACGAGGAGACAAAGATGCATCGAGTCGTACATTGTACAGTTTTTTCTTCACATAGTTTTCTAATGTTTTCAATCGATCTCTTTGAAAACAAACCAACCACCAGAGGTATTCGCAGCAAATTTTCAATTGTTACGGATATTTTTTAAATCATCAATGGAAGATTTATAAAACTGCACAATTTTTATATGTGTAGAAATAATCACTTAGGAATTATAGGTATTCTAGTCGAAGCTCTAAGTGATTTTTCTAGCTATTTCTGTGAAAAAAAGTTTTTTCCTATTTTCTTTTTGATAAAAAAAAAACAGTTTTTCACACTTAGAAAATTGATTAAATAAACTTCAAACCCCATACTAGGAAAACGTATAATATACGATTCAATACATCTTTGTCTTTATTTTTTAACAATGACAGTTGCAACTCTCTATCTTGTTCCTCTCAGTTCAAGATATATCCACTGCGCCTTTTTTAAATAGGCATTAATATTAATGCTACATATGACAGAAAAAAGGAGCGTCGTTTTTACCATCAGTCCATGTCGAGAAAAAGTTTCTTCAAGTTTTTTTTTATAAAGTATTAAAGTATCACTTCTGCTACTTTTGGAAAGCCTTACATATTTTCATTAAGTAGATAAATAAGTTAAAATACAATGTACTTTTGCAATTGATCGGATAAATTTATTGCGAAGAAAAATGATAATTCAGTTAAAAACGTTTATTCTGTACATTAGTATACAAAGCTGTAGTTTTATATATTAAATTACATATTAAGATGAAAATTGACTCAAGTAATTTCATTTTTTATATAAAAGCTTTTTTAAATATGAATTTCAATTTCAATTTGATCTATCGTTATAAAAAACAATAGATTTCTATTACTTTAGAAAATAGAATAGTTCTGAATAGTGAAAACTCAATATTTGAGAAAATAGAATTTTACCATGTCAACAGTTCAACCATATTATTGAATTTCTCGTGTTGTCAAAATTCTTTGAGAATTACATCATGCTAAGTATTTTATTATCAAGTTTCTATCAACATTAGAACAATATCAAAGATGTACAAGTACAAGTGCCACTTTATATTATCATATAAATGTACTCATACTTCCGTGAAATGCTTCAGCGTTGTTTAATTTATGAGTGATAATCAATGTTGAGGAAATTGGGCATCCAGAACATGCAAAGAGAAATAAAAAATAAAAAAAGTATCTTCAGGTCTATATGAAATATTGTTTGATATTTATATCATGATTAATGAGGAAATACATGCGAGAAAATACTCATTTACCTTTCCGCTATCACACTACAACATGATAGATATTCTAGCATGCTAAATCAGACGATGATGAATAGCTCTATCTGTGACAAGGAAACCATTGAAACTAGTTGAGAGATCAGTATAGTCATCAAGGTATGCTTGTTCAAGCGACTAAAATGGTAAACAAATTCAAGTATCGAGGCTAAACAGTACAGGAAGTTGACATAGAAGAAAAATATATTTTAGGTATGTTGACTATATGTATTAAGCTAGCAATTTCAAGTATTGTTTATTAATCCATTTCCTTCATATGTATTGATAGGAAGTTGTATGACAATGTATATATACTCTATAAAAAAATACGTATTGCGGAAAACTCAAAAAAGAAAAGCTTTCCGAACATGTTTACACCGGAAGCACTTCCGAAACGATCTCGAAAATTCTTTAAGATTTTAGCAAGTTAAAAATAGATACTCGATGTTTTGGAAACTTGAAAAACATTTAACATAGAAACATTTTCTAAGGAATCTTGACGAGTTCCGAACATCCAGAAACTCTTTATTCTTTCCATAAATGTTAATGTTTGAAGTGTCTTAAGGATTTTTGAAACTTCAGATATATATTTTTAAGTTGAAAAACTTTTTAAATAGTTTCCGAGATCGTGTTCGAAAACTCGACTTTTTGAATTTCCGACAATACGAATTACTTTTTTTACAATGTAGTTTTAACAATACCTTGATGATTATATATGTGACTTTGTAATGGTATAAGTACTTCCGTATTTCTCATACTACTCTAATCTCGATTGAAATGTAACCATAACATATATTCAGTAATAATTATTATTGTCTCAGTGAGCAAATAATTTAGACAATTATGATAATTTGACACTATTATCGAAATGATATTGAATTTTAGAAATTGTTCTAACACTATATCTCTATAGTTCATGAAATGCTAATATCATTTACTGGATCATTTAATGATTAGATCACAAGTTATTTTTCTCAACGTAATGACATTGACGAACTATTTCTAATGTTTTGATGGCTTGAAAAGTTTATCTTGTCGTTTAACTTAGTGTCAACATGTAAAGCTCAGTTTTTTGTTTTTTGAAATCTAATTTTCTAAGCGTTTTTTTTCTTATTATTTAAAATGGCAAAACATTAGCAAGCTAAAACCTACATCATCTATGTTTATTAATTTCTGTAATTAGGTCACACTTTAATTATAAATGCTGATGTGTATTTGTCATGATAATATTTTCAAAAATTATAACAGCAGTCAATTCCGGACTAGATTCTGATTGGATTATTTTATCAGTAATTTGGAAATGTTTTATATCTTAATTCTTAGTCGTACATTTATTGAATTTTATATTACAAGAAGAACGTTGAAGGTATAAATACATTGGAAATATATAAATCTGATAATTAATTTAATAAACAACAACATCCTTGGTCTTTTATTTTTTTATCCACAGTTGATGAATTTTCTTTTGATCCTGTTATAAAATGCATTGAAAAAAAATCATTTTGTAACCAAAATAATTTATTAACCGCTATTATCATAGCATGTTTGTTTATATTATCAACATTTTCTATATTTAATATAATTTCAATTAATAAATGTTCTAAATAACCAAATAGAATATTTATATGTATATAATCAACATTAATCGATGTTAAACCAGATTGATTTGTATGCATTTTTCCAATTTGAGATAAATACTGAAGAAATGTATCATTCCATTCACGTTGTGTTAATACACGTTTTAAATATATACTTAACATATCTTTACGAAACATCATTTGTGCCGAACTTACTGTTAAGTTATTTTCTTGATTGGCAGAAAATTTATCAAAATTTTGATTACGAATAATAAAATAATGTTTTGTTATATCAAATGAAAATAATTTTCTATAAACAGTATCGGTTATAACAGGTATACGTGGAAAAAGTATTGGTGCAAGTGCATTAAGCATATTAACATCATCCGATGTAAAATTTAAAAATTTTGATAAATATTCAAAACGATAACGAAGATCACTATTAAGTCGATTGTTGTCGATGTGTTCAGTCATTATAAGACCATATATATGTAAATGTTGTTGTGTTAGTTCTTCTTGTTAGTTTTTGCTTTTTCTTTAACTATATATTTTTTTCTTTTTAGTTTCTCTTTCTTCTTATAGAAAAATAAGCCAATCTGATTAGGCAATCTTAATGCCATTCGCGACACATGACATTCTATTCTTCTTCGTCGTTGTTGTCTTCTTCTTCATCAGATAGACATAATACATGTACGAATAAAATACAATCAATCTGCTAGTTTTTCATTTCCATTTGGAATCATCCATAAAGAACATTCAGACACTTATTTAGAATATTTTCATTTTTCTTTTCAGATAAAATTTCGCGAAATTTTGACGCTTAGTTTATTTTGAAGAGCATTTTTATATAGGATATGAACTTAATGTGAATCAATTGACTACGAATATGATATTTAAATGATTGAAAGTTATGCTACATGGGCAGAGAGTTATTATATGGAATACTAATATGAACATTGTTAGATTTTCAAGTGTCATTATTATCAGAGAATGTCACAGGCAGGTGTCTTTCGTTCTGCCCTACTACATTCAACAGAACATTATCACTCAGTCATTCTGTTTTTCCGAACAGGGCATTAAAGAGTTCTTGCTGCCTGCAGAACGATCTTTTTATCGCATTTTTGACAAGAATAAAAGCTTATCTGTACATATATGAGACATGATATCAAAAATATCATAGACGTATTGTTTAGACAAAAATCATTTACAATATAATTATATTAATAAATCTTAATCACATGTTTTCCGGCAACAATGGAATAGACGATAAACGAAAAATTCTAAATATCCTTAAGACAAACATAAAAATACAGAATTCAAAATGTAATCAATATAAATCAATGGATAACAAGAAATAATAAATTTTCTTTTACTCGTTTTTCCTTGAATTTCTCGTATGAACAAATAAATAAAAATGTTCTCAGGTTGACTCGGTGATAAGGGTATACGTCTTTTATTAAATGCAAATTTAGCTCAGCTAACTAATCTTTCCACTGAGGTATTAATGATTAGTATGGCATGTTATGATCAATTAGGTGACTTGAGTGTCGTGTAAGTCCTGGGCCCTAAAAAAATGATTATCTTTTTTCTACGTGAGCAGGAACAGTGTAGAACAAAGTAGATTATTTGTAGGGCATATTCTACAGGACAAGCGTTCTGTGACGCTCTCTAATTAGTATTGAACATCATCGTTTTCATTATTTTCGTCTCATTAAAATACAACGTACTCGAAAAACAAAGAACTTTGCAATATGGTAGGTCTTTGTTTGTTTTTTTATACTCTAAAAAACGAGGTTACATATTTGAATAAGTAAACTTCTTCTAAAAGCTGCTTTTTTATCTGCACGTCCAGAATAGGCGAGATGAGAGTCAAAAAGTGCGGTTTTTCCTGAACGTCTTTTTTGGATGGACCTTTTCCGTAAAAGAAAAATATAGTTTCCTTTTATTATAGAGAATAATAATAATTTACTAGTCTTAAGTAAAGTGGATCACTTTCATAGGAAATGAAAGAACCATGGTCCGCCATTTTGAACAAATAACATCCTGTCTCATTATAAATATCCGCATAAAAACTGAATTCTATCCTTTTTTTAGATATTAATTTATATTTATGGTCACCTTGAATTTCTATTTGAACAAAAAAACTATTGTATAAGATATATATTTTATATAAAAGTCTCAAGGATCAATTCAGACAAGAAAAAAAGTTTATTCAATGAATTGAAAATAATCCGAATAAATTATTCATGCATGAAATTATTTCATATAAAATAATAGTCATAAAAACTATTTATTAGTCATTCAAGCTTTTTCATATTAAAGAATATTATTAGAAAATATTTTTCAGAATATTCTATTAGATAGCTAAATAAACTTCTTAAAGTGTATAAGTTAATAGATAGAAATGTTTTAGTATGTTAAAATATTGTTGAATATGTAGAGCATTTCCATTGTTGTTTATAAATCAAAACATTTTTTTTTATAAAATCAATGGTGACTTGAACGAGAAGAGAGGGAGGTGTGACCTTCCGTTCTAGTCATAGGAAGCTCTTATTTCTTTCTCAGCATAGCCAGATGCCTTGTTTTTTGCATTCTCTTAGAAAAAAGATGATCTCCATTTACAAAAAAAAAAATCGCGACATTCTCTCAATGTTGCCTGCTTCAGGCTATCATGGAATACAATAAAGATTCTCCTTTCTAATAAAGAAAATGACGCATGTTTCATGCATTAGATGTAACCTATTCATGATTATGTCGTCATTTAAAGTAGCATGAAAAGCCTAAAATTAAGCAACCTTCATTTCCAATTTCATATCTCTATGAAGAATAAATATGCTTTAATTATCATAGATGAATGCATTTTGAATTGCAAATAACAAAACAACTAATGATTTTTTTTTCTTGCTAATATCTTTAGAAATATCTTCTAAGAAACATTTATATTTGAAGTAGAATAGTCTTCAAAAGAAAAAGGAAACATCGACTAGAAAGTCAATTTTCTGTAAATAATTGAAAGCATAAGGTTTTTTGTTTTCTTTTTTGATAAAAAAGGAATATTGAAAAAAAAGGAAATCATTATTGATTCTCTATCATTTGTTGTTATTCAAAACAAGTAAACTATGAAAATGAATATTGTTATTTACTGTTGATTTTTATCACAAGAGAAATATTAACAAGTAGTTTTGAGTCTATTAAATAAAAATATAAATAATTCGATAAGATATAAAATCAACCGTTCGAAAAAATTTAATTATCAACGATTAGAAAAATGAATCCCGATACGGTGTTAGCTGGATGTTTAACATACTAATGATAACGGATAAATCGAAGAATAAGAACATTGAATACAATATTTCTTTATTTGTCATTCGAAAAGAGCAAAACCATAAAAACAAGATTAGAAAAATATCAAAACCAGAATGTTAGAATGGATCATTTATTTATTTTTTTTTTGTTGCTTTAAAATAAAATAAATTGAATTAAAAATTTATTTAGAAAATTGATTTCGATAATCAAATGTGGGTAGAAAACTATCTAGATTTCTTTTTATATAAACATGATGTTCATTAAATTTATATTGTCCATGTTCTATATATATATATATATGTCTCATTACTAGAAAAAAAAAGATATAAATATGTTTGATTGAGCAGAAATAATATTAATTTATGAAGTATCTATTTCAAGATAGGAGCAATGTGGGAAAAACAAGTATTGAGCTGTAAATAATTAATGTGACAGGAAAATGTTGCACACGTTAGATACAAGAAAACAACTTGTATGATGAAGGACTCGTAAACTATTTAAATAGTACCAATCGTTTTAATTGAAAAATATAGAGCAAATTAAATTATTCCGCATCTTCTGTTTTACCTATTTTTAATGATAATTACTATGGACAGCTCTATGAAAATATTTATAATATCATTTGTGGAACATAATAAACAATAAATTAAAATTTAATACGAATACCTATCGATTACATTCAGTCTATGGCCTTGACAATTAAATTTCCTATAATGTGTAGATTATTTATTATCTTAATATAATAAAATTAAATAAAATATCAATATTTAAATTATTTGAGTACCATTTGTTTTAGATAAAAATGTTATGTTAATATTTATTGTAAATTGAACATAACTAATGGATTTGATATTTATTTTCTTTGGTTTTTTAATGAAGCACCGCCTACGAGTAAGAGCATGTTTTCTTTTTTTTCTTCGATGGATGATTTATGATTAATACCACTGGCATAGTTTGTTTATTTGGAGAAAGCTTATAGAGATTATCATCGATCTATTTCTTAATTATTTAAAAATATGTCAAAAACTATGTTTATTATTGTTGTCCTATTTTCTAATTTTCTTTATACATGAAAATTATCTTAAGTTGTACAATTCTTAATATTTTTCGAAACGTGTTTAAAAGAAAACATTCTTTTAATAAACAACTCGAATAGTATTAAAATATACTCCTTCATCATTAATATCATAATAAAATACATTATGAAATCTAAGAAAACCATTCTTGCCATGTGCTGTTCTAATGCATACACTTCAAAGAAATATAAATCACATTAAAGTTATTTATACGATTATGTCAATATAAGTAAACATGATTGATTAAGAAGTTAGGTACAGAATCTATTAGAGTTTCTAATCGATATGCATAAAAATATTCAATTAAAAAGCAGAATATCTTTTGCACAAAACTCAATTCAAAATATAAAAGAATTGCAAGAAAAGTTCATTGTAGTGTTTGAACTGATCGATTAAATCAAACTCAGAAACATCGATCATATATTTAGAGTATTGTAATACGGGTGTAGGGATTAATTTTATTCGATAAAATCTGAAGAAAAAAAATGACTTTCCATGTTATCTTAAGTCGAGATTAGCTATTACGATTATTTTTTATTTTACAACTCTTCTTCCGATTTTTATCAAAGAAGAATTACTTGTTTCCGGCACTGTAGTGATAATCTGTTGAGTAACTTTTACTATTTAATAGAGATGAAAATATACATTCCTTTTGATGTCGTTACGAGTTAACCTAATGAATATTGTTCAACAAAAAAAAAAAAAAACTAGCAAATAACAGGCAAGAAATGACGAGTTTTAGTCTATTCTCAATAATTTTTGTTCTTTAAAAATGTCGTGCAAGACGTACGAGAGGAAATGTTTATTCTTCTGTTTGACATCTAGAATTTGTATGATACAGAAATAATGTTCCATCAAGCAGCACTTATCGTCAAGAAAAGATAAACACTGAAATATGAGTAACACATATATACATTCCAAAAGAAAATCTATCTGGCTATTTACGACGAAGATTATGCTTACGATAAAAATAAATACAATAAGAATTTATTATTAACAGAACACTACAAGTATGAAATATTGTAAAGCTTATTTATTTTGCTAATTCGTTTCTTTCGAATTGCATTGATTTTATTGTAATGCATGATTATAATAAATAACAATGGTTCAATTTAAATAAATATATTCATATCTTTTTTTTTTTTAATTTTTTAAATTTTCAATTACATCCAACAACATTTTGATTTTTTCGTTAACGGAGGTGTCTTAACCGGTTTTAGAGTATCTTTCAATGACATTAAATAATGCATTGTAAAAAAATCATTTTGTATCCAAAAAAGTTTATTTATTGCCATTAGAATTCCACGTTTGGTTTTTTCATCTATACTATCAGCATTACATAGAACATCAATTAATAAATGTTCTAAATAACCAAGTAATGCATTTATATGTGTATAATCAACATTAATGGATGCTGAACCGGCTTGATTTGTATGTATTTTTCCAACATGTGATAAAAATTGAAGAAATGTATCATTCCAATCACGTTGTGTTAATACACGTTTTAAATACATGCTTAACATATCTTTCCGTAGTTCCATTTGAGGTGAATCTAATGTAATACCAGGAGTTTTTTTTGGTAAAAAACCTTCAAAACCTTCATTACGAACAAGAAAATAATGCTTTGTAATATCAAATGAAAATAATTTTCTATAGACAGTATCAGCAAGAACAGGAATAATTGGAAAAATAATAGGTGCAAATGTATTAAGCATAGCAATATCATCCGATGTAAAATTTAAAAATTTTGATATATATTCAAAACGATAACGAAGATCACTATTAAGTCGATTAGCATCAATATGTTCGGCCATAGCAAGAAGAAAAAATGAATGTTAGACTCGAGAATTGTTACTTCCATTTTTTTTTCTCTCGTCTTTTTCTTCTTGCTCGTTTCTTTTTTTTTTTATCGTTTCTCTCATCGAGTGTTGTAAAGAACATCAATATATAGATGCTTCACTTAGCATGACTTCTGATGCATTGCCATTTTGTATAGCTTGTTAAACATATCTATTGAATTCACTGGACTTTTTTTTTAATTTGAACTTCCGTTTCATGAAATATCTGTGAATTCATCCAAGGAATATAACTTTTCAGTAGATTTCACAAAAACAAGAAATAAAATAGTTTTTATGTGACAGTTTAATTGCTTAATGTACTTCAAAAATTTAGTATTTTTTATTATTCTGCTGATTTATTTTTATAAGAAGCGAGACATTATTTTTGTCCTATGAGAAATGAAATTATCAATTTTGATAAATATCAAAAGTTATCTATTTTATGTATGAACTTGACAGTTTTATCCTTTATTTTTTTTATATAGTGTTTTATATAATAGAGTATCTGTGATATGATTATGCTTTTCTACGACTATTTTATTTCATGGTTTTCAAGTTCGGTAATACAAATTATTTACACAATTAGATCTAAGATTGTTAACTGTTACATTGAAGAAACAGTGTCACTTTCAAACAACCTTTACCGCTGAGAGTGTCTATGTTGAACGATGAAAATAATAGAAATCAATTTGGAAAATCTATTTCTTAGAAAAATATTTATTAAACATGAATGTATAATGTTTAATTATTTAAATAAATGAACTGACCTCGATATTATCTAAAAGGATCGTTTTATAATAGCAATTTTAGTAGAACATGTTGTTAAATGGAAAACAATCGAATAGACTTAGATTCTATTAAGTAAAGCAATATTATTAATAGAAAACACTATCACTTATTTATATAAGTACTAAATGATATCAATACTACTATATTTTCAAAGATTATATGTATTGAAAAAGTGAATGCATACATTGTAAGATCATTCATCATACGATCTTTGACAGAATTGAATGCATGTTGTTTGTATAATTATTCTTTAACTTCAGTCATATCATAATATAGAAATATGTTTGTATATTGACGAAACATTCTATGTTTAAACATTTTTTACGACAAACTGTCAAACATAAATACTAAAAAGAATTAATAATCGTTTGTTGAGTGTCATGAATAGAAAACAGACTCTAATAGAAAACAATATTGTTGAATCAATTGATGAAATACGTGACAATCAAATATGAATATCTAATGATTTCTTTTTTTGTAAGACATTGATAGTAATAATAGTTGACATTTCATGATATAAAGAAAAATGATACAAAGCATTATACCTTAAGTTCATTTTTTTCTGATTAGAGAATTACGAAATGTATATATATATTATAGAATTTCTTTATAATTTTATACGTGATATAGGATAAGCATAAAAGTATTTCATCATATTTTAATAAGAAAATATGTGATAATTAAAGAGTTTCATGTTGATTTATTAATCAATAAATTTCATCTTTTGAAGTTGTAAATGCAATGTTTTTTAAATTAGAATTTGAATCTCATAACTAGTTGACAATTAGTCAATGATGCAATATCCCTAAAAAGAACTTCGCATACTTATTATCAAATGATTTGAAGAAAAAAAAATTTTCCATATACATATTGTTCAGGTTTACAATATAAACATTATCGAGGTCAAATAGTCAAGCTATTTTCATTAAAATCTTTGTTGCTCTTAGCTTAAAGTGTGTTTTTGGCAACTTTAGGCATAATTTGCAATAAGTCTTTTTATTAAGTTTAATGAGCCAGTCAAGTGAAAAATGAAAAAGCATTCGAACATGTACGTCATATAATTTATTTTTACTGTATGGTTAATATCTATTGTCATGTCTGATTTTTAAAGAAACTTGATGTATATAGTAATGTCAAGTTAAAAAAAAAACTTTGTCCTACTTCTTATTATATACAATAGTCTTTCAACTATACGTCATTTGTGTGAGATCACTTTGAACTTTTTACAAATATTTTCTAATCGCATATTAGACAAAACAAATATTGTATTTTAAAAATAATAATTTGATAATGATATGTTAATTTTTATTGTTCTTCGAGTTATTTCGAATGAATTATTTTCATAAATGTGTTCCAGTAAAGAACAGATGACCTATTTATGAATGATACAATAAATAGAATCTGATAATACATCAATTTAGAAAAAACATTTTTTTTCAAGTATAATTGTAAAACAATAATCTCATACGAGTATCAATTATCTCAATGTGAACGATAAATTTTTATCATTATGATAATTTGAATACAGATATATGTGTTATAACGAATGAAAATTAACTTATTTTATAACTATGCCCTTTTTTCCTAGTGAATAAATCCAATTTTCATATCATATACAAAGAATTTCTTTTTTTTTTGTCTAAGTTAGTACATTGTGGAACTATGCAACATTGATTTATTACTATAGAATCATTGATAATTTTCTAACTAATGTAGCTTGTTCTTAACTGAATCTGACTGTAGAAAACTCTTGGACTTGTCGCTCATTTTCAATATGATGAGAATAATTGAATACTCTCAAGTGATACTTTTCTTACAAAACAAATCAGTTAATTAGATTATTGAATACTCTATGTGGGAGGAAAGTAATAAACAAAGACAAGAGTTAGTATAGTAATGAAAAAAGAAGCACTAATATTTTGGTGAATACTATTAATAGTGAATTTGATGAAAGAACCACATTGTGTAGTACTCTAGGTTCTAACAAAAGAGTACTTGCTAAGAACAAATGATGAAATTGATTTGAGAAAAAGATGCTAAATTGAGAACACTAATAAATTAAGTTGAAATGTCTGTAAGTTATAATCAGTAATGACATATAGAATTATAGGTAGTGTGACGTGACATGATTGTTATACTTCATTTATTTTAGTAGTAATCAAAGATTAATAGAGAAAACTTTTCGCTGCAATTAAGAGATCTAAATAGCAGAAAATGGTGCAGTTCGCATATGATAAACAAAAACCTATAGATCAATTAATCGTTTCAAGCATGGATACGTTTTCCAACGGTTCGTATTGACATGCACTACGTCAATGTCTAAAAAATGTCATCTGTTATTATTGCTAAAGACAACATCAAATGATAACATTTAAACAGATACATATAAAAAAATTAAGTGAAAAAACAAATATGACAGTTAATGACAATAACATTTGGAAAAATCAATTATTGGTACATTGAAAATGTCTTCTTTTTCTTTGATGAAAAAAGAAAGAAAGTCAATTTGTATCGAAAAAAAATGAACTTAATTTATTACGCATTAAATATCTACTCTCTTGTTAATATTAAAAAGTTTGTTTTTCTATTCTCAATAATACGAATAAAAACATCTTCAAGAAATCAAGGTAATTTATTTTGATGTCTATAATCAACATGAATTCATATTGACTCATTTTTATTTATTTATGTGCTGCATTTGCTAACTTTTGATAGATATTATAGACTTGTATCCAAACAAGTACGTTGTACTAAATCTATATTTAAATCTTCATTCAACATACAGTGATGTCTATAAAAAGCAAGTGCTGAAAGTAATATTATATTAATTTCTTTCTTTAGTACAAAAGAATAATTTTCCAATGCTCATAATGTAAAAGAAATTATCAAAAAGAATAGAAATATTTTTTAATAAACGTTGCAGCAAAAAATATTAAGTATATTAATGTCATATTGCATTAAATGAAGACATTTCGATAAATACTTAAAACAATAATAAACTTCAATATGAAGTCAATTTTTTATCCATATCTTTAACAATTATGAATGTGAATTCTTTTTCTAGTTAACAAAAAAATTATTTTCCCCTTTCTTTTTTCTTATAAGTGATGAGAACCGTTATTAAACATTTTCCTCTTCTTCTTTTCAAGTAAGATGCACGCAAAGCAAAAATGCAGTAAAAAAAAATTTTTTTTAATTTTCATACTCCATTCGATAGAGAATATCACGGCGGTCAAGAATATATGTGTCTTGCATTTTTTAAAGCCCTTTTTCTGGTCAAAAAATTAAAAAAACTTGGCACGTGTCAAAAACAGATAATTTGGTAACTTTTCATAGATTCCTCTTTTTTTAAAATATGTTACGAGATAAAATCTTCTAACTTAGTTTTTCTGAGAGACTTGCAAAATTAAGTTCCGGTCTTTTAGTATCGGTTTTTGGAAACTATTTTATGAACCAATGCTTTAGTCTAGAAATGGTTTGAGACCAGTTTCTTATTCAGCTTTGCATGATCTATCAGNGTTACAACTATCTGATTATGAATTTATCAATGTAGCAGTTTGAGACATATTATTAATATAAGAAATGCCTTAAAAAATATTTCACTACTTTTAATTAATAGAATATTAATAGTTAAAGAAAAATAATTCTCTTGTTTTCTATACAAATAAACAATATAACTCAAAACATTTAATTTAGTTGAAAACAGCAGAACAAATATAGTCTTCGTTTATATTCTCCGGATGAGACCAGTTGATTGTTTCCGGCGTCTGTTTTTCTTTTTACAAATAATCAGATGATGCTCTTATTCGTCGTCAATTTTTATCGCTCTTTTCCTTGTTTTGAATCAAATTTCTATATCTGGTTTTTCATGAAAATTGTGTATGACTTTAAAAGTCAACGAGACAAAATATGCTAATAGTTGTTCCGTTATTTATAAGCATAATAGAATTATTCGGAAGAAATACTTTGTATTTTTTCATCTTTTAAAATGCTGAATTAAATTCACCAATCTACACATTGAATTTGTTCTATAAATCGTTTTTCAGGTCGAAAAACTCAAGTCAGAACCCGTGACACTTGATAATAAGAGTTTATGGGAACTGATGATTTATAATCTATCAGAATTTTATCTTTTCTCATCATTAGAAAACATATTCAGTTGATCGGCGTAGGTTGAAAGTCGGTCA